AACCAACCCCAAAAACCTCCCAAACCAACCCCAAAAACCTCCCAAACAAAACCCAAAAAACTCCCAAACAAAACCCAAAAACACCTCCCAAGCAAACAAAACAATCCAAGTGACAATATTCAATTGTTGATTTCGATACACTCTCTGTAGAGAACTCAAGTAAGTGCAGCTTCTTTGGGATAACAAAAGCCACAAACCCCTCCAAAACCCTTAAATGTGCAAAGTGCAGTTTGGCACATGGGAACATTTGTCTTCCTTTGCTGCCAGACTGGAGTTTCAGTCCCTCTTTCAGCCTCCAGTGGTTTCATGGAAAGCAGGAATTTCCCTGGTTTAAGCTTTTCCCCTCTCAGCAGTTTTGTCCTGTCCTGTCACCACAGGAGTGAAAACTCGCTCTGCTCCAGCTCCATCCGTGTCCCTCTCCTGGAATCTCTGGGGATCAGCTCTTTAAAAACAACTTAAACCTCTTCCAACAGGTGGAACTGCAAGAAAGGAAATTCCCAAAGCACAGCTCTGTCCCTCTCCCAGCTCAGGGCCCCGGCCTGAACTCGGTTTTTAGCTGAATGTTTCTGGAGATGGAAACCAAAGGAAACCCCAGGGGCTCCAGGAAGACACTGCTCAGAAAAACTGAAGGTTTGAAGTCGAATCACAGTTGTTCACAAATTTTTATGAACTTTGAGACTTCGTGGTGAGCTGCTGTGCCGAGGGGGAGGTGCCTCAATCCCTGGGCAGAGAAATGGAGTTATAATTCCTTGGGGAATTTTCAGGATGGTGCAATGAATGACACTGACATATTTGATACACGAGTGACACAATTACTATGTTTAAATATCTACCTGGTAAGTAATACAGTCATCACTGATCTGCTTTGTTGGTAAATAACCTTTGTGCTACTTAAATATTTTACTGTAAGAATAAATATATATTAGAAATATGGTGTGTCTAAGATATTAGAAATACAGTCTAAGATATTATAGATAGATATATAGAAATTATATATTATAAATAATATATTATATATAATATCATAATATAATATTATATAATATTATAGAATGTATATTAATAATATACATTAATATTATAGAATATCTAAGATATTATAGATATAGAGATATTATATATTATAAATAATATATAATATTATATATAATATAATATTATATAATATTATAGAATGTATATTAATTATATACATTAATATAATAGAATATCTAAGATATTATAGATACATAGAGATATTATATATTATAAATAATATATAATATTATATATAATATTATATATAATATAATATTATAGAATGTATATTATAAATAATATATAATATTATATATATTATATAATGTTATAGAATGTATATTATATAATATTATATCATATATTATAATATAATATATAATAATAATAAAATATAAAAACCATACATAAATATAAAAACATTGAGGTACTCACTGAACTGTGGAAAAAGCTGCTGAGGTGCTTTGCCCACGGACACCTGAAACACAGAGAGACATTCTGAGCCCTGCTCTGAGGCAGCCCCAGGATGTTCCCTGTGGCTCTGGGGCAGTTCCCACTCACATGTGCAGGTTCTCTGTGATGATGTTCAGGGTGAAGAGGCCAATGTTCTGCATCTCCTGGTGCCTGCAGGTCAGGAACAGGCACAGGAACTCGCCCACGTACTGGGCACCGAGGTTCTGCCACCTGCAAACACAGGGGCTGCTGAGACAACTCACCTGGGCTCTTCCTGGCATTGGCATCCCTGCCTTCTCCAAAGCTCTGGCTGCTTTCCAAGAGCTGAGGATTATCTCTGCTGCTATTTCCATAAACAAACAGAGCTCAGGAGTGTTTACTCACAGTTTTAGGACTGTTGCTTTCTGGCGACTGAGGTCTCTCAAAATCAGGGAGACGGTGCCATGGAGAACGTGTTTTTTGTAGGAGAGGTGCTCCAGTAACAGCCTCAGAGCCCAGAAGTTATTCTAGGGTCAGATAAAGTAGGATCAGTGATTTAACTGAGGTAGCAACAATTTCTTAAAAAAAAAAAAAAAAAAGGCAAAAAAACCAGCTGAAAGAGTAAAATAAAGAGCAAAGCTGAAACAAGTTAAATGTGTCTAAAACCTCCAGGAGGGTGTTGCAGAGATTTTAAATGCCATTTGATTTAATCTCTTAGAGCAGAAATCAGTATCCAGCACTCACCCCAAAAGCCAGGGCTATCTCCAAGAAGGAAGTCAGGTATGGAAGGTCACAAAAGAGCATCCGTTGCACTGCTTTTACTGCCATGATGAGACAAGCCTCGTGGTGCAGCTACAGGAGAGACACCAACAGCAAGAGAAAGAGGTTTAAAAGCCCATTTTCCCACTATTTTATATTGTATCCAGTCAAATCACTTCCTCTCATTTCAGTCAGAGGCTGGAGGTCGGACAACACATCCACAAGAATCTCATGAGGAGCAAAAAAGGGGGGAATAAATAGGTATTTTATTCATGCAGCTTGTTCACTTGGTGCTCTCCAAGTGCTCACAGAGACATGAAGCCACAGAAGCAGAAATAGAGAATTAAAGGGAAAAAAATTTCAGCTCAAGAGTCACATATCTGGAGAATAAACTGAATTTCCTCAAAAGAAGTAAAAAAAAAAAAAGATAAGACAGCTCCTCAGATGTAGTGACTGTATTGAATATAGAATATTTTCCCAGTCACCTTCAAACATGCTCCTCTATATTTGAAACCCTAATTTAAGGGAAATTCAGAAATTCTGGGCTATTCTGAGTGTTGAGACAAGCAGTGACAAGCTTTTAAAGGACAGTCTCCTGTTTGAACCAAATAACACAAGACCACCCTGGGAGACACTAAAACAGAATCAATTCTTACCAGCCCTCCCACTTTATAAATGCATAAATTTGGATAGTTAGGAAGTAAAACTTGTCCTAGACTGAAGATGTGTTAGATCAGAACAGACCCTCACAGTTTTCTTACCTTCAGATCTCTGCTCCAGCCTTTAAACTCTGCTAAGAACAGTTTTGTTTCCCCCTAAAAAAACCTCTTCCAGCCCCTCTTAAAAGCTTGTTATAACCAACCCCCCTGTTTTCAGCAGTGCTGTATCTCAGGCACAATAACTCAGATGGGAAATTCCCCTATTGCCACGAGCACACCCACCTGAGGAGAGAAAATAGAAGGTGGCAAAGAAACATTAACTTTGGCCTTCAGCTCCTCCAAGAGGCTCCCACTGGCAGCCAGGACTCCCTGCAAGAGAAGGAGGGAGGCACAGGTCAGGGATGGACAGACACTGCCCACACCCCAGACAGCACCAGGGTGGCTCTTCAATGATCTCTGGTAGAATCAGGGTGGTTTGGGTGGGAAGGGACCTTAAAGATCAACTGATTCCACCCCCTGCCATGGGCAGGGACACCTCCCACCAGCCCAGGTTGTTCCAAGCCCTGTCCAGCCTGGCCTTGGGCACTTCCAGAGATCCAGGGGCAGCCACAGCTTCTCTGGGCAACCTGTGCCAGGGCCTCCCCACCCTCCTAGGGAAGAATTTCTTCCCAATATCCCATCTAAATCTCCTTCAGTGTGAAGCCATTCCCCCTTGTCCTGTCACTCCAGGCCCTTTGTTATGTGATCCATGTCCACATGAACAGGCATGGAATCAGTACCAGAATTAACCTGTTTCCAGCTGCCTTTAACACTCCTGAATCCCAACATTCTGCAGAGTGTTACACTTGGCACATAAAATGGAGCACTGGAAAGTCACCCCTGGCATTGAGGAGAACCAGTCAATGCCCACATCAAAAAATCTTGTATAAAAAACCAAGACAACAGATTCTCCATCTTCCCAGCACTGTTCCACTTACCTCCTGGAAGTCAAGTGGGGGCTCTTTCAGGGATAAGGGATTTAGGTGCCCACTTTTTGCCAGCAAATTGCTACTACCCAAAACCATGATGAGAGAACTCCAGCATTTGGGCTGAAACACAACAGGACATTGATATTATGGAGTGAAATCTGCCCACAGAGGTATGAATTATTCAGAGAAAAAAAGGTTCTGATGGTAAATCCTTGCCTTGGAGAAGTAACAGGACAGAAGAGGTAATTTAGAGAAAGAGTTTTAATGACTCACATTCCTGTACAGTGACTCGTTGCTGTAAAGCAGTTTGAGTGCCTGTTTAATTAGCACACCATCCCTGAGGGGAGACCCTGCAAGAGGAGAGAAAAAATAAATCCAAAACATGTCTTAGATTCCCTGGAAAATTATAGAATGGCACAAACAAGACACTAACTTAGTTACAGACATGTTTCTACAGAAACCAATCAGAGCCATGCAAGGATCTACAGCTATTTTACAACATTTTGGAGGTAGAATGGAAAACCATCAGCTGTAAAACACAGCTCTGGAAAGCTGCAAAGATCTGCACCAGGACAGATCATCCCAGGCAGCAGTGGCTGAACTAATGACAGAACGGAATACACAGGTTATGGAACATTTTCCATCCAGAAGTTTAATTCTCAAGGTCAAGGCTATGATCTACTATAATTCCAAGTTCCACACTGCCACTGGCAGTGCTGGGATGTAAGAAAGAGCTTTAGGGTTTTTTTTAATAGGTTGTTTTCAACAAAACAACTTCTCAGGTGATAAAACTGATAAAATTAGGTTTTGAGTGAAGTGAACTGAACAAGCTCATGTTTAAGAAGCAAGACATCCTTCCTGCCTGGTGTTTTCATGGAATCCCAGACTGGGTTGGGCTGGAAGGGACCTTAAAGCCCATCCAGTGCCACCCCCTGCCATGGGTAGGGACACCTTCCACCAACCCAGGTTGCTCCAAGCCCCGTCCAACCTGGCCTTGGACACTTGCAGGGATGGGGCAGCCACAGCTTCTCTGGGCAACCTGTGCCAGGGCCTCCCCACTCTCACAGGGAAGGAGTTTTTCCCAATATCCCATCTATCCCTGTCCTCTGGCAGTTTAAAGCCATTCCCCCCTGACCTGTGACTCCAGGCCCTTGTAAATAAGTCTCTCTCCATGTTTCTTGTAGCTCCTTCAGGTCCTGGAAGGCCACAGTCAGGTCACCCCAAAGCTTGTCCTCTCCAGGCTGAACAATCCCAATTCTCTCCTCCCAGCAGAGCTGCTCCAGCCCTCTGATCATCCCCATGGTATCCTCTGCACTTGCTCCAACAGCTCCAGGTCCTTCCAGTGCTGGGAAGCCCAGAGCTGTGGGATCAGCCCAGGACACTGTGCTGGAGTCCAGACAATTCCTAATTGGGCTCAGAGTTCCTCAGAACGTTCCTAATTTTAATGAAAAAAAAAATCAAAATTCTAAGCACACATAAGCAAGAGGTGACACTTGCCAACTGTGAGCCAGGGCCCAGTCTGCAGCATGTCATTGCCAGGGGGAACACTGCCCGTCCTGAACATCTTGAGGTAGGCCCCAAACTGGCAGGGGGTGATCCTGCAGGCAGAGCAGCAGGCCAGGCTGTTCACTGGGAACAGCAGGGAATGGGCAGCATCCAGGAAATCCCCAGTTTTGCACAGGTAGAAAGGGATCTTATCCCGGAGGTCTCTCAACCTGGGCAGGAGAGATGGAGATTGGGTGGACATCAGCAGGAATTTTTTACAGTGTGTATGTAGAAATCTGGTTGTGCTTGGGGAGGGAAAAAGGGGGGAAGGAG